GATTGGCTTCTTCAGAGAACACTACCAATTTGGTGAGAGACGATATCCTTGTACAGAAAGAATTGACTATTGTAATTTTGTTGGGTTTCTATGGTTAAAGTTAACACTTTATTCAAGTTTCAGATAATTTGTTCAGTGAGAATTCACACTTGCTTTCCAATCTTATGTTTGTGTCACAATCTCATTTGTCATACACTGCATATACACTGGATTGTGGCTTAGCTAGGACTTGACACTTTGGCAAATAAGCACCCAGATGTTAAGACTTTGAGACTTAATGATATGCATTTAGGATATATACAAAGATCTGTCCCAGTACTTGCTTTTCTGAGTTACATTTGTCAAGCTTTATAAAAGATTGTCTTCTGAATTTTTCAATGTAAGAAAGTGAGACTGGGTATATGGTCCGTTTTACATACATTTTACAGTTTGGACTTTCAACCCATAAACCAGTTTAGGGCTCTGAATCAAGCTATTCTGTAATGTAGTTGGCCTGTAGTTCTGCATATGTGGTGCTTCGTTTCATCTGGTGCTGAATTTCTGGTGTTCTGTGAGGGTACATGAATGGTCTAAAATTGCAAAATACTGTGATTGCCTTGGACTGCCAAACTGATGGTAAAGCAGAGTTGTTAGTTACCGCCATCTACTACATCAAGAAAACTAAGAGCAGAGTTTAGTTCTTAATGCATTGTTTTTCTACCCCGTATTTTTGTAGCTTTTATACTTATACTTACCAAACTTAAAATTTCAGCCCTTCAGACTGTATCTTCTTGTCAGCATTGTCGTAGGGAAAGACTTATCAGGCAGTTGTCATTTGATTTCTTTGATGAGAAAAGCCTTATCATGATGCTTTTTAAAAGTAGGTGGAAATAATCGATGAATAGTAATAACAGTTCTGCAGTCAATGATCAATAAAAAGTACTTTCCTGAGTGGCATGTTTATTTTAGCTGCTGAAAAATTGTTTCAGAAAAGATTTTTATGACTGTTACTTACTGTTAACACTTCCATTTTGATTCTGAGAAATAATTTGGGGGTTTCTTGATATTGTTATCTTTCATGCTTGAAGTCTAGATTTGCAGTATGGACAGCAGACATGGGTGAATAGTGCAGTCTGATACAAACTCTGCAGAGAATGTTGATTTTGCATTACTAGCCAGCAGCCCGTGATCTCTTCTCTTTGAATTAATTTTGGAAAAAGTAAAAATCTGGAGTTTACTGTGTAATTATTTAAGATAAAAGAATATTTATATCTGGAGCCAAGCAAGCAAACTCAGGAAGTGGATTAACAGTTGAAGGAGTGTTGATATTTTGTTTGCAAATCACATTTCTTGATTTATTTACTTGTAGACTTTCTATTTATAAATGCCATATTTACGCTCTGTCATTTTCTAATTCAAAGTTTTTAATGTTTTGAATTGAATTATGTGTCTTGATTATTTTTGTGAAGTGCCTTATTACAATATTTACTTTTATGATCCAAAATAACACTTTTCTACAAGGAATGTGAAAATTCAAGACTACTTAAATGCGAAAGGAGACATGTTAGTGAGATTTGTGTAAGGTATGAGGTGCTAATGGTGTTTTTATGGTACTTTATAGATTATTATGAAAGCAGTTGCTTTTGACTCAAAGTGAATAGGGAATAAAGGAGTGATTTGTGGATTGTGCTTTCTGAATATTTGGTTGGGCTTTTTTTGTTTGTTTCCTTCAGAAAGAAAGACTTCTGGAAAAATTAAAAAAAAATTGTTTTATGTACAGGGAACAAAGGGAAGATGGTGCTCTTGGTTCCGATTGTTCTTTAAAAATTTCATTTGAATAAAAGAAAGAGGGTTGCCCTTTGGGGGATGAAAGATTTTTCTCAGCTTGTGTGTGGGGTTTGTTTTCATGGTTTTACTCTTGTGGTTTGAAAACTAATTCATAAAATTTTTACATATTGATCCCTTTGCTTACGCTTTTCTAGCGATGAAGTTTCCTTTGTGAGGAAAAATAATTTCTATAGACTATAGCGCAGTCTACAGTACTTACCCTGTCTTGTAGAGGTGGAAAGCCAGTGACACCATTTAAAAGTCCATTATTTTTCTAAATATTATGGATGGAAGAATTGATGCTGTTTGGGAAACTATATGTTTTATTTGTGGTTTTAGACTCTGAATCAGGAAAGAAGTCAGTCATATGGTTAAGTAATATTCCCAGTTAAGGTTATGAATAGCTAATGTTTTGTTCGCACTTGCAGAGATGCTTAAAACATGCTGATTTTATCACTGCTTTTGCGTTGTCTTCCTAAATTGTATTGATTGGTTATATATTAATTTTAAATGTAATTTTTATGTCTGCTCAGATAATTTGAATTTATGAGTAATATTTATTACATGTTTTTATAAATTTAAGGTTTTAAGTAAAAACGCTCCCTCTGCCCCCCGAAAATACTACTGTAAATACAGCATGGCAGCCTGTTCTTTTCATCCTGTCTTGGTATACTCCTGTTTTTTTAAATCCTGTATTCCCTGTTTTGTAGTCATCAAGTGCTGGTATTTATACAGAGGACAGCACATGGATATAGTAGGAGGAGTCACTTTGTTATTAACAAGAGGATTTGGGGAATACTTTGGGCTAAATTCAAGGTCCATTGTATGTATCAAAGAGTGTTTCCAGGAGAATTTAAGCAATGAACTTCACAGATGCTTTTCAGAATCCCACTAGAGTTTTACTGGCATCACATGTAAACAGGAGACATGAAAATATTACGTTTCTTTTGGTCCATTTTATATTAATCTTTGAAAATTACCTATAAAGATAATAAGATGGCAGCAAGGTCAGTTCAGATCAAAGATTTATCTAGTCCAGTATTCTGACTCCAAAAATAGCCAAAACTTGATGTGTAAGGAAGAATATGAAGTCAGGCATGTTTCACAGCCACCAGAGACAAGTAGTTCATGAATCTCTTGGGCCAAAAGTTGTGTGTCTCTGTTCAATAATGATTCATGGATTTTTCTTCCATAATGGCTTTTTGAACCTATATAAAATCTTCCAACAGTCCTACAGGCAATAATGTAGTTCTTAAAGAACCATTAGAAAGATTGTAAAGACTAAATAATTTCAATGTCAAATATTTTATTTTAAAGCAGCTAAATATTCTGTTACAGCTTTGTAAAATTTTCGTTGAAGTCGTTAAAATAAGTGCAATTTTAGGTAATCCTGGTTTTCTTCTTTTAGCTGCTTGCTTCTCATATTTTTCTTGAGTTAGGGTGCAATCGTCATCAGTTTGTGTGATGCGAGCCAATAAAATCTGAGTCAAGTGCGTTAGTGTTCTTACTGTAGGCAGATCATGTCAGTAGTATCTGTGCTTCATTGCTTCTCTTCCCGTTCAGAACACTAAAGCCTATCTTGTAGGCTCTGTTTGTACTGGAAGCCAGGTAGACAGGGTTAAGGTGTGCCTCAAGCGACAGACCACTGCTGCATTCTGGTAATGAGACCAGGCTACTCCATTTATATTTCCCCTGCATGTTTGCAAAGAAAAAGTTCTACAGCTGATTTTCTCTTAACAAAGTATATGAGCTTCTCAACAGTTTCTAATTATGCTACTTTACAAATAATTGGGGGAATATCTCTTCTAGAGTAATTAAAATTTGAAGTAAAAGGAAAAATAAAAATGGAGCAAGCTTTTCGTTTCTTAAATAATCTGTCTTAATTAACAATAACAGCAACCACATCAAACAAGAAAGCATATTTGTCTGCATTTGTTGTCTGTTTTATATAATACGTAGCCCAGGACATTGATTGGCGCAGCCTTGGCGTAGCTACCAGAACAGGGCGATTTAATAATGAGGCAGGCAGTCTATTTCAGCACAAACAGTATTACCAGTAGAGTCAGCTAAACTAGAAGCCAGTTGTTATGTGACATTAAATATCCTGTGTATTTGAATGTATACCAACTATTAATTTAGCAAGGAAGTTTTAAGAAGTGATAGTGTTTATTCACCTAGGCCTCATACCTTATTGCTCCTCCAAGATTTGGAAAGACAGGATTTTCACCAGTCTACTTGCCCTTGGAATGAACTTCAGTAAAATTGTTGGCCAGCTTTCACACAGGACTGTGGAGGAACACTGTACAGAATTTACATGACAAAAATAGCGAGTGAAAGTAGAATTCTTAAAAACTCTCTTGCTGCCAAGAAGTACAGAAACTTGTTGCCTGATTTTAGAGCTATTACTAAGACTATGTGCAAATACTGAGGGAAAGTCTCTCTAATCTGTACTGGATACTGGCTGTAAATACAATCTACAGCTAATTGCTTTTGGAATGCTAGTAGTTTTTAAAACTCAAAAAACATATGGCATTGAAAATTAAAGTAATTCTTGTTTGCAAACTAGGATAGTGTACTGTTTTTTTTATATATATATATATATTATTTATTTTTTTAATGCAACACTAAAGCCATTACTCTGGTTTTTTTCCAAAATGCCTTTAAAACTTTACGTAAGTGGTAGCTCATGGGACTCAGAAACTAGGTATTTAGATAAAGATGTGTATTCAGTTATTCAGTTGGCAGGAGTGCATCTTACTAAGGTGAGATTCACCCTTTTCTTCACAAAGAAGGTAAACAATAACCAATTATTTCGCATCTCTGACAAAAACAGAGTGAAGATTTGATATTTCAGAATGAGTTTTTTAGTATTTTTAGGCCAAGTGTTGTTTAGGCATGCTGAGATTACAGCTATCTGATGGTGACCTGTTTTTTGACCGATTAGAAGTTAATGGGACCTTGGTATTGATTTACTTATACCTATACTGTGAATAAAAAAGCTGCAGTTTTCTTCCAATCTAGTAGAAAACAAAACTAATAAAGCAATGAAAGATCAAATATTATAGAAATCCTATAAGAATGAGTGAACTTCTCTTTCTGGCTTTTGTGGTACAGGAGATAAAAAACTAGCTCTGATTGAACACTACTGCTTGAAATCTGTAAAGACTGAAAATATTTTATTGTTGCTATTACAGGATAAGAAGGCTTATCTGGATATCATCCACACCTATATGGAAGTCCATGGAACTGTTCACGGGACAAGCACCATTTATATTCCCAGCTACGTAAAAAACCATGGTATACTCAGTGGGCGGGATTTGCAGTTTCTACTGAGAGAAACGAAAGTAAGTTTTTCAGGAGGGAGTAGTGGCAAAAATAGCTACAGATAGACGGTATCTGAAGTGCACGCATTTCACCTCCTACGAATGAGCTCCTAATTTAAAAGCATTGGAAAAATAAATGATCAAATGTAAAGGAGCTTAAGTTGTCTTCTGTGTGCTAAGAATATGTTTTTCATCATGTCCATATTTTGTGGATTGACAGCTATTATTAGAAAATTGGGACGACAACCTACATTCACAGACGCATTTAACAACCAGCTTGAGAAACATGGATGAATGCATTTTTCGTTTTCTTAAATGTGATATTCAGCTCAAGGAAATTATCAGCTGAGAACATGCTTTGTTTTACATCCCTGATGTGAAAGTTAGGTAAAATCTGAAAGCTGTACAGTAGGCATGCTTGCTCTGCCCTACCAATGACTTTAACCTAGAGTGACCCTACTCTCTGGGGGAGAAAAGAAGAAAAGCAAGCACTTCATTTGCCATTCAGTTCCTTCCTCTACTTCAGTTGTGCAGAGAGAGAGAGCAAAAGAGTGTGCTTTTTGTGGTGTGCTTTGCCTGTGGCCCCATAGTTAAGGGAACTCAAGATAAGGGACAGTATATTGAAATAAATAAACTTTTGTCCCCGTAGTTAGAATGCTTTGTGGAGTTTTCTGTGCCATTCCCATAATCTTTGTGGCACTTTGTAACATTAAAACACTTTAGTAGATTACATTTAAATAGGATGTTTAACTTTCAGTTGGTGAAAGAAGTGGTTTGTGTGTTTAAAATTAGCAAAATGCGTGGAACTGCACCACTTACTCCCCATTGTTGATAGTTTCTTGCTGTGCAGTTCTACAGAAGAATCTATTAAAAAAAAAGAAAGAAAAAAGCAAGCACCTCCTAGTCTTCCCACACGACTGCAGAGATCTCCTTTTTGAAATATTTGGGAAAATGATGGTAATTTGACATCTCTGTGTGACAGCTGTTGGCAAATTATGACTTTTTAAAGACAACCACTGTGTGTATGTACTTGATGCATACAGATAGACATAATGTTGCAGATTAAAAAGTCAACATTTACTTTCGTCATAGATAATACTGAGATTACACAGCTTGTCTGTGTGGAGTATGAAATCACTGTGTTAATCATAGTACTAACGTGGGAAGAATATTGACATTGAAATAACCCCAAGCACAAACAGTGACTTTCTTCTGGGGGGGGAAAAAAAAAAAAAAAAAAAAATGGCTCTATTCACTGGAATAGTAACAGAAGCTAATGGACTTCCTATAGAATTGCTGAAGTCCTTATAATTTACAAAATACAGTTCATAATAATACTTATGTTTGAGTAAGTCTTCCTCTAATTCTTTATCAGTCATCTTGCATGTATTACACTAAAAACCTTGATTTTCAGTATTAAGTAGATAGGTCATCTAGTTGTTATTGGTTATATTTGCTGTGCTCTAAGATGCAATGTAAAGACACATTCACTTTAGGACAAATTCAAGTTGATACATACATATTATGCAGCTCAGCACAGTGCAGTTATATGGGTTTTGTGAACACAGGAAGTAACCAGACTAGTTTCACTCGGTTTTTGACTAGTAATTGCAATTATCAGATAGAAGATAACTCTCTTGTGATTGTGAAGAACTCCTGAGATCAGCAAGTTGCTTATTTTTCATAAATTGTATTTTTGTGAAAAGCGTGGATCTACACTGTACTGTAGAGTCCTACAAGCATTTTAGATTTTAATGATTTTCTATTCTATTGTTGTGCAGTCGGGTTTTTTTTCTTCCTGCTATTGAGGAAAATCCTTAGCGAATTTGCTGCATTTCTTAGTAGATGGCACTGGGAAACACATCAATGTGTTTCAGGACCCTGTATCAGGAAGCCAGTGTTTTTATCGCATTATCTCTTTGATACAATCTTTCTTAATAAACTTTTTTTTTTTAAATTAAGTCTGCAAAGAGTATTTTCATATGGCTTTTCTGAACTTTTGTTAGCAGATTTGCAAATGACAAAAGCTGTTTTACTCTTAAGGAAATTATTTATTTATGATGCAGCCAGGCTAACAAAAGTTTGACCTGATGATAAGCAGTTAAGAGTCCATCTGCTTCTCCTAATACTTACTATTGTCAGGCAAATGGGAGTGCAACATAGTTCTGATGTTGCAATGCAATGAAATTAAATTAAATATGGCTTACTGCATCATGAATTTTGGTTATTATTCCTGTCTAATACTGTTCCAATATATCTAGTTTATCAGAAAAAATATAACAGCAGCATCGTGAAAGTGGAAACTGAGATTTACCACCTAATTTGTTTGGACTTTTTCAGTTCGAGGTGAATTTTTGTGTTGGTTTTGTGTTGGGGTTTTGGGGATTTTTTTGCTACCTGATGCTTAGTATCTCATAGGTACACTGGCTGTTCTGCCTTAGCATATGGTTGCCTTTCATTGTCAATCAACAGACATACTTGCTCTAAGTCGTCTTGTTGCCTTTACCTTCACAGTTTCAGATTTTTATATCCTTCAAGAGACAATAACGTAGCTTAGCATAAAAACACCACTCACCTGTCTCTGCTGGCCATCTGCTGCCTGTGTGGGTCAATTGTGTTTATATCAATAGGATTGTGGATTGAATTGCTAAAATAAGTGTAGGTTTTCCACAAAAATCAAGCTGACTTGAATGGGAGCTTTGTGCCCTGAGGAGCCTCGTGTATGTGTGCACATGCATCCAGTGATGTTCAAGGACAGTTTTTAATCATAATCACTTTAATCGCTAGGCAACATGGCCAGAGCCCCATAATGAATTTAGTTATGGGGTTTTGTCACTAGACAATCAGTGTGCTGAAAGTATGTGAGTAATCAGAGCCGTAACTCTGGAATGATAACATCTGTGGGCGCAATGCTCACTTGAACCATCTAGGCCTGCTTTTTGCTGTCTCCAAGCAACAAACTTTGTCTTTAAGCTTCCAGAAACTTTCAGATTTTTCTTTTTCTAAACATATGTTTTGAGACCCAAGGACAAGGATTGTCTTTCATTGCTTGTGCTTTCAACATTGTGTTAGCAAGTTTTTGTTAGATCAGCTGACAAACAATCTAGTTTTCAGGAAGTCAGAGCTAAATGATAATTTAACAAATCGCACAGTTCAGTGTACTCAGAAGTGTCAGTTTATGTTGCACTGCTTCATTTTGCCCTTAGACAGCAAAATAGTGATAGGTGATGGCTCAGTCATGATTCTTGATCAGAGCTTTGCATTCCCAAAATGTATTTGGTCTCTGCAGTAGTTTGTATACGACACAGTTATTCTCAAAAGCTTGCAGCTGCCATTTCATTCCGGTATTATAAAGCAACGCATTTCAGAATAAGTGTATTTTCCAAGCAGGAGGGGGGTGTTTGAGATTCATCATGGCTAGTTCAGCTGTGTAGTGCATGACAAAAACGAGACATGTCAACAGTTCCTAATGAGAAGATGTAAAGCCATTCATCACGTCAGAAGAAAATAGGGTAGGCGAGCTGGCAGCCTTCCTGCCAACTTACATGGCTTCTTGCCAAGTGGGCAGCTGGAGGAGTTGGACCAGACTCTCTTGGAAGAACCAGTACTGAATTCTTGAGAAATATTCCTCCTTTCAAGAAAGTTTCAGATGCAACTTTTTACTTCGAGTCACTGTGAATTTTTGAGGGAATCCAAATTCTATTACTAAGTGGAATTTACAATTTCTGAATGGTGATTAATAAAAGTAGGAGCAACACTCTATTTAGACAGTTTGGGAAAAATCCCCTTGCAAGGTTGAATAAGCAGAAATAGGAAGACAAACTTTTTTTTTCATATTGCCTTTTCTGATGTAATACATTTTTTACTTCCACACGCTTCACAAAATCAGCTGAAAAGACATTTAACTGGTGATTCTATTCTAAAGTTGTTTCAATCACAAAAGGATTGACTTCTCCAGAAAGTATTTCATATTCATGAGAAAAATATATCAAGATAGTTAACCTTTGCTACACTTCTCTTTCTGTAGTTCAGAAGAGAATACATAATTTCAGTAAGGAGGCATACAAAAGTGGTGATAAACCTACCAACCCGACTGAATAAGTTAGATGAAGTGCAGTAATGTTAGAAAGAGGAGAGGAGAAGATAAACACTCCTGTTTATGGAACTATAGCATTTAGTCTCTGGAATTTGAAATTTTTCTTTTAAATATTCAGCTAGTCAGAATTACAGTCAGTGAAGTAAAACATTCATTTCTTATTTTATACTTTTGGCTATAATTTAGAAAGACTGTTTGTTGAAGTGTTCATTTTAATAATAGTCTCATCTGGTGCTGTAAACTCCACAAATAAATTGCTTAGTGTCAACTGAAAGTCAGTAGCTTCCAAAAAATAAACCAAAACCACACTGTTTTTTCACGGGAGTGGTCGTGAAGCACTTTTCACGTCAGAGAAGTCTCCACTTAGCTGCTACACCATGAAAGGACTTCTTATATTATAATCAGTAAAGAATGGTGTCTTGGCTAGTCTGATGCAGGGTGGCCAACTCAAAAGCCTGAAATTCCAAACCAGGGGTTCAGTTCACTGCAAAGGCAGAAAAGGTTCTTGAGGAGCCTTTCTTATGAAAACCAAAGTATTCCTGCTTCAGGGTTTCAACACCTGCTTTACTCAAGTTGGGCAAGTGAGATTGCAGATAAGAATCCCCTTTTTTGATTCATGCAGACCTACAGGCAGACACATCTGGGTAGCAGACCTTGCAAAAAAGGAAATGGTTTTTTTAAAAAAAACACACTGCTGTTACCAAGATCATTTTACATCTGTATTTATTTGCTATTACGTCCTTTAGATATACTTTTATACTGTGAACTCCTCCTGGCAATCATCTCGTTATACGGGGCATTGGCATACAGAGCCTACTGTGGCATGTGCCCACTTAAAGCACTGTGTGAAAAATAATGGTTCTGGCTTTCAAAAACATTTGAAAGGTGAGAAAAATGCTCACATACAGAAAATCAAATGGTTTCAAGCAGTAATCAACCAGTAAAGCATAAAGGAATTCTACTTTGCATAGCAATTCTGCTGCAGCTAACAAAGAAGGATCAGGGCTAACATTTCTGAACCATGTGTACCCACAGTTACGTTACCAACATTGTCAGATTTGGAGTTTTGCATTATAGACCTTCAGCCATAGGGTGAAGGTGCCTCTCCATGGTGGACCGTGGTTACCAGACACAGCATCCGGTAAGAGAGTACCCTAAAAGCCATAGTAGCACCTTACGTGGTGGAGGCAAATGTACATTTATATCACAAAATAGTGGAAAAGCAGTCTGTTCTAAATCTTTACTGGTTTGTGGGAGAGCCTTGTCTTCCACACAGACTCAACTGTACTGAGGATGGATGTTTGCTTCACTGGTACCTGAAAATTGTTGCCTGTTATTTCTACTTTTTTCTTTTACTTTCACTTCTTTTTCAATTTCACTTGCAGCATTTGTTGCATACTTTTAGGAAGTACCTTGACAGATTGTTTTAGCCTTTCTGGAAATAACAAGCTGCATGTAATTCAAAGGATTAGCAAATTAGAGCATCGTAACAATGAGTTACAGAAATTACCTGTGTTCTCTAATGCTTACTTTTTTAATCATAATGGATGTCACTTTCTTGAGGCAATTAAGATATTCCTCGGTTTTGCTCTTTATACCATACCAAAATACTAGCTCCCAAACCAAGGAACGTTACTAAAGGGCAATTTTCAGGAGCAGGGTCTAGATTCACTTTGGGAATTTCAGCTGACCTGATGACAGCGTGATGGAGAGGGACAGAAGATTTTGGAGGGTTGAAAGAAGGAGCTGCGGGGGCTGCAGGCGGCTCTGAGCCAGGCTGTAACCTCAGGCCCACAGGCAGCACACACACATGCACCGTTCTAGCCATCAGACACATCCTTCTTTCTTTCTTCAAAGGTATGGTGCTGCTTAGCGGTAAGGTTGAAAAATGGATACGAAACAGGTGGTAAGCTATTTATTATAGATTAAGTGTTGACAGTGTGCTCTGTGCTGTCAAAACATAAAACCATGTTTCTTTCCCCATGGAGCTTCCTTCTAAATAAACGGACCAGTCAGACACAGAACTGTTGAGCAGTGCACAGCAGCAGTTTATTAAAAAAAGTGAAAAATGAAGCAAACAAACCAGCATTCTCTACATAACAGACAAACAGGGGATCATAGGAGAATTAATACTTCAGATGGTTTTAATTGCCAGTTCTCAGCTGGTTTTCTGCCTGAACTAAGCAGTAGTTTAAATAAATAACATTATGTGTGCAGATTGCATGAAATGGTTTTGTGTCTGTAATTAATTATTTTCAAGAGATTACCTTTCTTTAAATTAAGCCTCTTTTGAGATGAAATTTAGTATGCATTTTTTCTGACAGAAAGGTAATATATCTTATGCCATATATAAACCCCAAATTTAGATAATCTAGCTTTAGTAGAGGTAGTCTTCCAGATCTTTTTTTTATCAGCCACTGGAGAGTTTCCTGTAAGATTTAAATCTGCAAGATAGCTGAAAAACTTTTTGCAAGTAGGCGACTTTTTGAACCTGAAAATTGAAATCTGAAATAACAATGTTCAGCTCCATGCAGTGGAAATTGTATGTCCTCAACTATGCTGAGAAGCATTAGCTTTCTTTTTAAAATGAGCCAACTCAGAATTTATACTGTTGCCGTGGGTCAGAGAGGATTGATGCTGCAATGCCTGTGCACAACAATACTGACTCCAGGTTTATGCATCCATGTTAAGATCAGCTCCTAGAAAGGGCCTTCAGTTTTGAATCTTCTTTCACTAGGATTCACTTCCATGTTGCAGAAAATTTAATGTAGAATAGTATAATTTGACCTCTTTGAATACATACATCCTGAATACATGATCCTAATAATTATGAAGATTGCTCTTTTTATTTTCTTGAAAAAAAGCAGTAGGTATATATATGCATGTTAAGTCGTACAGCAGTGCTGTGAAACTGCTGTTACAAATGAGAGCTTGTAATTCTCTCATTATACACAGACATTCAAATAAAGATGAAGAATCCTATATTTAATTCAGGGGTTTTAATTATGTGGGGCCAGGAAAGGGGTCAAGATCCAAATAAAAGCCAAACAGCTCTGAAAAAATATTAAATTTCTTTACATTGGAGAGAAGCACTGCCTTTTCTAGAGCACCTGTAATCTTGGCTGATTTAAGAATAGCTGTGTGATGCATTTTTCCTCCTTCAATTTACCTTGGAGGTGTTGAACCCTCTTAATCCTATGCAAGCTCTTGCTGCCTAGGTACAGTATCTTCAGCTGATGTTTGCTGCCATCTATCGTTTTAATTAGAAGACTTAATCAGTTTGGCAGGAGCATGTTCATATTGGCAAAACCAGCAGGTTAGCTGTTGTGGGAGAGAGGGGGAAAACAGTAGTGTGGCTGTTCCATGAGGTTACTGCAGTAAAACCTGTACCTGCAAGAGAGCCCCAGCAGTTTCATTTCAACACCAATCAAACCACCAAATGACTTTTTTTTTTTTTTTTCCCCCCCAAAAAAAAATAGCTGAAAGGGTCTGTTGTTGCCTCAGCTCCGTGAAAAACCATCTCAGCTCATTACAGAAGATTATTGTCAAATGTGTTTTACAGGACATTCCGTTACTGCTTGGGTAGGAGGGGGTGAGCTGCTGAATTTCTCCCACTTTCTTCTTAACATTACATTTTTTTAGGCTGGTAAATTTAAAATGCATTATTGTTTATTTTAAGTTAGCTCTTAGCTTTCAGTTTTTGTAAAGAACAAAAATTAAGATAGTCCTTTTTTTCTATTTTTCAGCTGTTCGTTGGTCTCGGATTTCCATATGAAGGGCCAGCTCCTTTAGAGGCTATTGCTAATGGATGTGCTTTTCTAAATTTAAGATTTAACCCGCCAAAAAGTAGCAAAAACACAGAATTTTTTAAAGGCAAACCTACACTCCGAGAGGTAAGATTTATCAATCTTGGTAATTTCTTGATTGAAAATGATTGTGGATTTCTTTTTAGTAACCCAATATAGGAAAAATTGCCTAGGTGTTCACAGTTTATTGCAAAAGGTGTACAACTGTAGTTTTCTTTGGCCATTGATGGGATTATCAGTCCTTATTTTTATAGGATAATCAAAAATTTTTCGTTAACATATTGTTAAGCTTTATGTCTAGATTTGCTTATGTACATTCTGCTAATTCTTATTGATAGACCATAAACTGAAGTTTCACTTGAAAACCTGATGTTCTTCCCGGGAACAGATCATGTCATCGGATACATGATGTGTCATTTGAAAGTGGTTTTATTTTGTTGAAGAAACAAACGTTACTGTGTACTGTGCAGGAAGTAAATAGGTGTTTAAGTAAACTATAAAAATGACATTTGTGGGTTGTTGTGGGTGTTTGGGGATATTTTTTTTTTCCTCCAGAAAAGACCTGCTCAAGGCACTGTTGAGCTAAGGTCACAGCCCACAGTGTTTGTGGTTAAACACTGAAGACATTTGGAGAACTGACTCTGTAAGAGAACAGTAAAAAACAAACCTCAAGCTTTCAAAACAGCCAGTGAGTTTAAACTCTAGTAAGAGAAAAATGAGGCTAAGTAAACTAGCCCCTCACCCCGGCACTGACTTTGGAATATTTTTCTTCTTTGGTGTAGGTAAAATTCAGCCTATAACACTTTTAAGCATTTAACAGTCATGTAGCCATTTCTGACATTTAGCACTTTTGCCTTGACCATGGCTTGTTCATAAGTGTATATACATATTTTCCTTACATACTTATCTGAATGGAAAGCTCTCTGATAACACTTAGATGGTGAGAACTTTGCACAGCCATATTTCCCAATTCATGTTATGCTTGAGCTATATAAATTGCATACTGAGTGGCACCAGCTAGTCGATAAGCAAAAGACAGTTCACTGTTTTAAACCAGGAACATAAACTCTTTATGATTTTGTGATCCAGGACTGTAATTGCCTTTCAGCTTGTACAGGACACGAGTTCAAACTCACCCCTTCTCACAGCTTGCATTGCTAGCAAAGGAGATAGCGATAAGAGAAAAGAAGTCTGTTTAAACTTTCTCCTTGTGCTTGGCACTTCTCAAAGCTTTTCTTCTGTGGGTCACTCGACTGTTTGTCTCATTTCCAGTGGTTTTGTGCGCAGACACTATAGCTGGTCAGGCTGAGTAAATAATCTGGACCCACCTAACTCTTTAGTAGGAATTTTAGTGCTTGGAATGCTGTGCTAAATCCTGCTGGCATGTGTCAGCACTAACAGAAATGCTGTGCACCTGACTTGAACAGAAAAATAATCCCTATTGACTGCTTTAGTACAAAATAATATAATGAACGTTCGTCACAAATGTTGCTGCGTTCACATGCTCTGCTGACCTATCCTAAGAATAACCTTTTCTATAACTGGTTTTCACAACTGCATTTAGATCCGATTGCCAGTAATCCATGTGCTGGTTCTTTGGGATTAAGAAAGTCCTTAAATCCTTCTCTCAGTTTTTTCAAGTGTTAAAGGCGAACAAAAGAAGCTTGTGTAGTGCTGCAAATTGATTATCCATAGACGAATTTGAAGATAAAGTCTGTGTTTAGTACTTTTGTAAAGTAACCATTGCAAGTCACTACTTTCTCTCTTGTTCTAGGTAGAATTTATTGGGAGGGGTGTTAACTGTTTCCCCTCTACCCCCAAGATGGGGTCCTGTAGTGAAGAGTCTGTACGAAAGTTGGAAATGACAGTTTTCATTTTAGATCAGCAGTTGTTTTGTCTTGGGACATGTTTTTGCTGGGGGAAAGAGCCAGAAAAAAAAAACACACCAAAAACACCAACAAAAAATCACCTTCAAGCAGCTTGTTTTGTACCAGTATTTGTACCAATATTTCTTCTCCAAAGAAAGATGTACTTGGTCGGTGTAGTTTCTTTCATTTTCTGCTTTTAGGAAGGGGAAAAAAAAGACCTGAAATTAGAAATTAATTTAAATCTATTTATAAGAATGCTTACAGATTTTAATTATAGGCAGAGGGAGTATCTCCTGAATATCTAAAACATTAAGGCTCAGCCAATTAAAGCATTTCAGTATTAGGAAATATTCTTAATATTTTTTGAGAGTATAGATTTAGAATTACTGGTGCAATAAAATTATGTTGCTAGTTACTCTTAATACTTAAAACCGCTACTAGTCTGAGAAGTTTAGTTGTTCGTCTGACAGATCAGATCTGGCTTTAATGTTGCCATCTGTCTGAGATGGTAGAGAAAGAGTGGTCTAAGGCATAATTCCTAGAGCTTTGTGGTATTTCAAACACTCTTCTATGTTCATATTTTTAAAGGTGCAATAGAAGGTTTTTCACTGTTACTGAAAGCAGTAGGAATGTAGCTTCTGCCATCTGAAGTCCAGACATAAGTGCCTTGGGAACTCAGTCATGGTAACCAAATTTTTAAGTACATATAGTTTTAGTTGCAGTAGAAATACTCTTGAAGAAAGGTTAGAATATGTCAGTCTTCGAGAAGCATTGGACTTTTTGGAGGAATTTAAACTATGCCGATGGGAGCACAGTGCAGTGGGCTGCAAGGGAATGTAGGCAGCTACGGAAGCTATCTGTGTGCAGAACCATCCTGAGTGACCAGCCCAGCAGCTGCAATCTTCAGCCAGTCCGTGAGCCCTCCCCACCACGCTGCCCTGCAGCCAAAGGTGGGAGCTGGCCCAGAGTCCCCTGGAGCATTGGTCTCGGAGCACAGATTTATGCTAGCTGATCCCATATGTAACTAAGACTGGCTTCTCTTGTCCACAAACAAAATGCAAGAGGCAAAATTTTTTTTAAGTAGTTTCTTGAATTCATTTGAGGAAGAGAACAAGTATGGTATATGCCCAGTGCAGAAGGTTCTTGCCAACAGATGTTGTTTCCTACTTCAGATCTTTTGCGCTAACTAGATTTTTCTTTGTATCATGCATAAAGAGGCAGCTGTATAAAAATTGTCCATGAATAATCTGTCGGGGTTGGGGTGTGTATTTATTTAAAAATCAGTTGTCTTCTGAGGCCAGTGTGAAACACTCCCTTCTCTTCTGCAGCTTTTGCTTCCTCTCTGTGTTCATTTGCATGTTCCTCTCACTGCTGTGCAACCTGTCACAAAAATTACCTTTAGTGCCATCCTGCTAGTTCTCAAAGCAATCTCTGATATAACTTTTCTTAGTTATCTACTTGGGTATTTATTGAATTTGTTTTCTGATCAAGTGGTGAGCAAAATTCCAGTTAACACTCTTATTGAGGTCAAATCACTCTTGTACTTACAGCAGTGAGAGTCAGAATTCATCCTAAGTGATAGAAATGATTCTTTATTCACTACTACTCACAGAAGCTTGGAAATGTTTGAAATTTGAAGGAGAGACAGGACAAGGATGACATCTCTTGAAGCCAGTCATGCAGGTCTAACCAGGACCCGTAGCAATTACGGGTTGTGAAAATGGAGGGCTGCTCTGTGAATGAGCTGTGGGGAAGCAGGGTCACATTGTAAAAGTAATTTCAGTAAGCATCAGGTCTTCTGTGATGTGGGTCATTATGAGGACCAAAGCCACAAGTGAGAGGTGCACAAATGTTACTTGTGATCTGTGTTATTATCTGATTTTCAGTTTTCCAACTAAATTCACTCTCTAAATTTAAACACAGAAAATCTGAAAGATAATTCAGAAGGAATGATGCTGACTGTCAGATTCTAGCTGAATTCTTGTTTTATTGTAGCGCCTATCACCCAAAAAGTCTGATGAGAGTGAGAGGGAAGGCTATCTTGACGCATTAATTTTTACCGAAATAATTTCTTCCCTTCAGTTGACATCGCAGCATCCCTATGCTGAAGTTTACATCGGGAAGCCCCATGTCTGGACTGTTGACATCAATGATCTTTCTGAAGTTGACAAGGCTGTGAAATCAATTTTGAATCAAAAGGTGGGAAATATATCCTCAATTTGTCATCAACACTTGAAGGTGTATTTTGTACTGCATGTAGAGTGCTTCCTAATGTTAGTCTGATTAAAGCAGAGTGCTGCACTTTGGCAGAATATTGGGGAAAAAAATTGTTATTACACATCTGTGGTATCTGATTACCATGTTTTAGTACTGGATATGTCAAGTTTTTTCCTGAAAAAAATAAATGAGTGGATTTGTATAGAAATGTGAATTTCTTATGTAAATTATACAGCAATCTACATTTTCTGTGCATTCAGTGAGGAAGTTTGCTTGTTGATTCTTAGAGCATTGCAGGCTGTCCAAGAGCATGCTCAACTCTTTTGACTGATTTTGTAGCCTTGACATAACTGCCACTGAAGTGCTTGTGCACTTACAGTGTGGAATTGTAATGAGGGCACTTCAAGGAAAAAAAAAAGTTTGAAGTAATTTTCAAAGCTATCACATTCTGGTTTTGCCATAATGTTTTCTTTTTCACTTCAACTCCAGAACTGAAACTCAGTTAAAGCAGGAGCTCTGGAATCCCACAGGGTCTGAAGCTAGCTTGATACCTATTACATCGCAGTATACCCTGAGTTTCCTTAAAGATAATCACTGAGTAACTTTTATTGCCTTTACAAAGTAGCAAAAATCAGCTTAAACTGCTGATGGTTTTGTGAAATTGTGATTTGTTAATGAGTTTATTTGCATTTATTGTTGCTACTTAAGCTACAATGTAGTATTTGGAATACAAATTGCTACCACGCAGTGCATCACAAAGTTCATTTAAAGAAAAAAACCTCTAACATTAACACACTATGTTTTCACAGATTGACCCTTATTTGCCCTATGAATTTACATGTGAGGGAATGCTTCAGAGGATGAACGCGTTTATTGAAAGACAGGTATGAACTTTTATTGTGGATGACTCTTGTTTTATGTTGGGAAGGGAGGACCCTCTCCATTTTAAAGCTTCTCAGTGTTGTTGCTGTTCAAGTAGAAATAGTAGCTGTGCAGTCCCTGGTGTTTCATCAAAGCAGAAAGGCAAAGTAATTTTTCAGTTTATATGTGACTTCTTTGACTGTGTACACACAAAAAATCTTTGGATCATGAAGTATCATGTAAATACAGAGATACTTTTGTGGTAGAATTGCACTTAGGCTAAAGCCTCTGGGCAGATTTTTTTAAGTGTTTAGTTTCAATTGACAAAGCTTTACGTGGTTTGGAAACCGGTTACTTAAAGGACTTTTGGCCCCCATGCATTATTGCCAGCTGACAGCAGCAGAAGATACTGAGTTGGAGTAATAAACTGCAGAGATTTACCCGGGATCCTGATTTCTAGAAACTGTATGTTTGCTTGGAATTCTGCCCAAGGCCAGATCAGTTGCAGTGGCCAGCTCTGCCTTTTGTTCTGGCTGCTGCAGAAGAGAGATAGGAATAACCTATATCTCTGATATGCCAATTAATTGCCAGGATTTCTTTCAAAAGCACTGGACATGCTTCTGTACCTGTATTGTGAAAGTGGACGGTGTTAAAGACAGTAATAAAGAATAACACAGCTTCAGGTCAGAAGCGTAGTTAACATAACTATTTCCAGTTTCCTGCCAATAAATACTTTAAGCTTTTTGCTGCTGTATTGATGACATAGCCTTTAAAAGTATCTCTGCTTCTTTTGATTCTCTTACCTGAGTTAGCTATAACTGAGAGGTTTTGTCAATACAGGAAGAAATAGAGCTCAGGGTAAGGGAGAAAAGGAGACAATCTAGAAAAAGCATCTGTGGGGCAAAGCTGTCTTTCCCCCCGGACCTCCCCCAAGGGCTAAGCCCTGGCCTGTACCCTGTGCTTCTCAGAAATAAGTAGAGCATTGTAATTTTGTTCATTGCTTTGACTAATTGTCAAAAGCCATTATTGTTTCACAGCCCCCAGGATGCTCAAGCATCATTATTAGCTGCATGTGCTTAGCACTCTGCCCGATTAACATGTCAGATGAAGCAAAAATAAAGGTTGAGACCTTATTTTGAAGAGTTTGTGGTGGGAGGCAGGCAGAACAGAGAGAGCAGCACAAGCTTGGAACAGGAACAAAGATGCACAGAGTTGATGTGGTTCAGAGGTTCTGGGGTGCATTAACTACGAGAGTGTGGTCTTCAGGGGATGTTTGAATGTGAAGAGGATGGGGCCAGATACACTAACCCACAAGTCACCCTATGGGATAGGGAAACTGTAGAACTTAAAAGGAGTTGTCCGGAGTTCCCCTTTTGGGGCCTTGGCTCAGGATCAGGAAGGAGGACCGTGTTCACAAGTAAGGTTTAGAGAATTCCCTGAATCTTCAGATCCAACAGCTGGGCTGAAGGTTTTTAGGGTCTGAAGTAAGAGAACTACTGTGAGCTGTGGTTTCATGTTTAGCAGTGCCACCTTCAACTGGATTAAAACAGCTTTCACTCCAAGCTACTCCTCCCTGCCAGTGCACTGCCCCTGCCAGCAGCCCAGCATGGCTGTGCCATCTCCTGAATCCATCCCTTGATCCTGTTTGCTCTGTGGCTGCACAGACAGTTGTGTCAATCTGCAAAGCGACAGTGTAGGGTGGGAACCAAAGGGTGGGACTGCCTAAATTGGCACTGCCATCAAAGGAGCCGCCAGGGAACTGCAGCCGAAGCAGCTGCGGGATTCCCTGTTGCAAACTTGGGAGCTGTTGGATGAGGCGGGCTGGGCTGATGGAACAGACATGCTGACTTTGAAAGATGTGGTCAAGCGGAATGCTTGGTAACCCGGCAGAAAATGTTTTTGGCAGGTTAGCAAACTGACTTGGCTCAGCAGAGGGTCAGCTGAGCACCAGAGCTTGGCAAAGGGAGTGGAGTGAGGACATTCGTCTAAGAACAAGAAAAGCTAGAGGGAGGAGGACACCTCCTTTGACAGAAGAACTAAGCCTGTCTCACCTTGAAATTGTGGTTATAGGCAAAACAAAAATAAACACAGTCTCTGGTAAAGCTTAACTTTCTGTTTTACGTAACATCTTTTCTTTATTTTACCCTTATGCATGTAGGGTTGTCGGGCAAGATAGACTGGGTTGAAGATACCAAGTTTAGGTTGCTTTTATGTTTGATAGGAAAACTAGCCAGAGACCGCAAACTGAAGCACAGCCCTGTGTGCTGGTACCTGTGAAAGTGATGTTCTCCAAGACATGCTTCAGGGTGGCATAAGCTGAGGAAGGCTTCCCACCAAGCTATGGACTGGAAATGGGAGGCTGTGCCCAGTTTTGGGGGAGAATTTTCAACTAAGAGATGTTAAAAGCTGAAGCCCCAAGCAAACAGTGAAGCCTCACAAGTGATTCACTGTCTTTGAAAAACTTTGTCTCCTGCCTGCACTAGCTGTGAATCCAATCTGATATTACAGTACTATATTGTATATATTACATTGGTATATATTACAGTATTAGATTGGATTTTGAACCTATATACATTTCCTCCTGCATCTAGTAGTTTAAATATTGATTTATAAAAGGACAGAATAAGCAAGGCACTTAAGCCAAATAGCAAAATGACCTTTTTGAAACAACCTTATTAAAAAGTACCTCCAACCATCTATTGTTAACGTGTTCTTTTAGATGCTGTTAAAATTATTCTGCCATAAATATGCTCTAAAATTACTCAGGTTTTTCAAATACGGCACAAGGGAATGGCTTAGAGCTGCATCAGGGGAAGTTCAGAATGGATATTGGGGAAAAAGCTCTTCATGAGAGGGTGATCAAGCACAGAAACAAGCTCCCCAGGGAAGTGGTCATGGCCCCAAGCCTGTCAGTGTTAAGACGCTTTTGGACAATGCTCTTAGATATATGGTTTAGCTTTTAAGTTGCCCTGTGTGGAGTCAGGAGATGGTCTCTATGATCTTAGTGGGTCCCTTCCAACTCAGGATATCCTGTGATTCATGACTGTATAATATTAAATTTATGGTTAGACCTGGGAGTATGAAAACTTCTTCCTTCAGCAGAGGAAATCTAAACAGAGAAAAAAAAACAACCAAACTGATGTTGAGAACTGGTAAGTGATCTGTGGTCTTAGCTTCATTAAAATTTCAAGTAGTTCAGACTTTGGGTCACAGCGTGGGACCTGTCCATACAAGTATTAGTTTTGTCAGGAGAAAGCAAACCATGATGGACTGGGCCCAAATTTTCTGATCACCTTTTGATGGGAGTTGCCAAATGTTAAAATAATGGCTGAATATCATGGAATGTTATACAAAACCAGTGTTTAAAATTTTCTTTTTGCTTTTTCTCATTTTAAATGTCAAGACCGTACGAACTTGTCTTTGAATAGTTTTCGCTAGCAGTTGTGTTTATATATGATTTCTTCCTTCCCTCTTTCCACTGTGGTGACAGTTGACTGCATGCATTATTTTTAGCAATTTTTTTCAGTGTTGGGAGAGCACTTTTATTAGCAGTTCAACCAAGAAGAGCAAACAAACTCTTTGAGTCCTGGTTGCTTTGTAGAAATCTTCAGTCTTTTATGAGTTCAGCTCGCTCCGTAGAGCTGCGAGTCCCCTGATCCTTTCCACGTGGCTCTCCGCATGGGCCACTTGAGACAGTTCTTGCCTACAGGGTAACTGGCCTCTGGAATTCTTCTCCTACCAGAACTTCCTCCTGATATTTACTGTTACAAAAATAGTTCTGCTAGCACCAAATTAGTGAAACAGGAGTCACTGAGAAAGCCAAAACGGGTTGGGTGTGTGGAAGTAAAGAGACTAGCTAGAGTTGCTTATGATAAATTAAAAAAGGTAAAGGTAGGGAAGAATGATACTACCACATTTTAAGTAGCAAAGGTGATAATTCCCTCATGCTAAAAAAAAAAAAAATATTCTTTTAAAATGTGCTTAAGTTACTGATTTTAATACAACTGACATGAGCTGCAAAATGAGTGTTTGGGTGATAATAACCACTTATTTTACTAATGGGGAAAATTGCTGTCAAGGGACTGGATGCATCATAATAAAGTATGATCTGTCACTGCAGGATTTCTGTCATGGGCAGGTGATGTGGCCACCATTAAGTGCCCTTCAAGTAAAAACTGCTGAACCTGGAAAATCCTGCAAACAAGTCTGTCAGGAAAACCAGCTCATCTGTGAGCCTTCCTTCTTCCAGCATCTTAACAAGGACAAAGCTCTGCTTAGGTAAGTACTTAGAAGCACAAACATATTATTTGGTCTCTTTTTATTGCACTGGCTTTTGCCGCATATTAAGTTTAGTGCATGAATTCTGTGAGAAGGGAAGGTGGGGAGAGAAGTACTGTCTTGTTTGGCTGCAGCAAGCTGTGAAGTTAGCTGTCAGTCCTTCGTGGCAGTGGATGGTAGAAGTTACTGCTGTGCTGAGAGCACCGTTCCACGTAGCATGTGTTTCTGCAATGAGGAATACAGCACCGAGGCCAAAAATTTACATCTCTTCCTTCCCTGCCCTCCATCTCCCACGCGTGTGCCCCTTTGATGTTGGGTTGCTTGCACTGCGCAAAGATGCTTGTGCTGCAGGGATCGCAGATGCCAGGGGTATAATTGTGTTTGGATGGACCCTTTGCAGCCCTGGCTGAGCAGGTACACTATTCCGTAGCTTTTGCCATATCCTTCTGAGAATTGGTGAACTTGCAGGACTCTTAATGCTTATCCAAACTGTGCTCAGTCGGCTGGGTCAGAAACAAAATGCATTTTGTTGCAGTAAATAGAAATCTGTACACATTGTGTGATTTCTGTCAGTTGTTCACATGATTTTAAATATAACATTTATAAAGTGTTGCTTTTATTTATTGAGCTCCCTCATTGGTCACGATTAACATCCGTATTGAAACATCTATATTCACTGGCAATTAGCAATTCCTGTTTCTGCAAACCTTTTGTCGGTATTGTCCTGGGTAAAGAATTGTAAACCCATGTACATTAGAGGTATTAGTACCAACTGATAAAAGCTTACGAGCTATGCATTAAGGAAGTTAATGTTGCTTTCAGGTGCTGTCACTTTGGGAATATGTCTGTGTTCCTTTCAGAATGAAAACAAAGCACTCAAAGCTAGGCTCCAACAAATGGCTGCTAGGGAATCTGCTTTCTAGGTTTTCTATCTCCACTTTTTGCTAAATTAAATTGTAGAAGGTTTTCATTTTTGTATTTTGTTTGAAAAGTTGTAATTTCCAGTGGAGTTCAGAAGCAGCTCATACAAAAACTTTGTCAGGCTTCTTTTCTAGCTGTCTAGACAAGATTATAATTCTGTGGAAAAAAAAACCTGTTAAATGCTGAAAGCTACCAGTGTTTCCAGAGTTAAGTGAAAAACAAGCTTCTACTGGAATTGCTACCCTCGTGCTTAAGCTTTGTGGTCAGAAAATGGCAACTCGAATTTTTCTTTTTTTCAGCTAGCTAGCACTAGCTGGTTCCTCGGAGCGGTGGGTCCAGCTCTGACCTGCTTCTGCTGTACCCCAGCAGCATCGCCTTATGCTCACAGTTTGGCTGACCGCACCTGGAGCTCCCCAGGGCTGCCTGGCATGTTGTGGCTTGCCTGGGGGAGATCCCTGCTGGTATCGATGAGAATATCTCCTGATTTCAGATTCTTTGGTTTTGTCTTACTAGAAATCCATGGTGTATTTAAATATTAGCTTTGGGGAACAGTCAAAAGCTTTTTTTTCCTTTTTAACTTCTTTTATTAATCTTTAGGAAACCGAGTAAAACTGAAAAGGCTGTACTGCCCTCTGCAGAGAGAATCTGCACAGGCGAAAAGAAATGAGAGTCATGTTCTGGAAATCTGCAATTCTGAATGTACTTGATTTAGGATGTAATACAGCATTTTATTTTATTTTTAACAAGGAAGGATGGAAACTGTACTGAACTCCTGTAAACTCCACTGTGATTTAGATGATGTGCTTTGCTTTTTAGGCATAATATTGAATGTCTCACCATGGAGTCTGCAAATGATATTCTGGTCCCCTCTTTTGATGGAAGAAGGAAGCACTGTGTTTTCCAAGGTGACCTCTTATTGTTCAGCTGTGCCGGCTCCCACCCAACCCACAGAAGAATCTGCCCCTGCAGAGACTATATTAAGGGGCAGGTTGCGCTTTGTAAAGACTGCCTATAGCAGCAGCAGAGCTTCTTTTGAGTTGAGGACAAAATGTAAGTAGTTTTGAGAGGAGCTACTTATTACTTCCTGCACTTTTGTCCAGGTTTTTCGCTGCAGGCAGAGCTATCATTGCTGGGCAGAATTATCTACTAAGAGAGGAGGGATTCATAACAAACAGCTAACTGACCTTTTCTCCCTATAAGAACATTTGCAGTGTAACTCTTCAGATTCTTTCATCTGTTTGCGAAGAGAAACGAGTTTCATGTTCTACAGTGATTTGAAGATGACTGCACAGAATAGTTTGTACAAAATTCCCAGACCCATCAAACTTCTTTTTCTGTTGTTTGGGTGAAGTGTTTTCTATTTTTTTAATGAGTTAGGACATCCCCCATCATGGTTAGCTAAAGGATCTCAACTTCATTCCAGTAGAAAATTGAAAAAAGTGTGCTTGAGGGAGGGGTGTGCAGGGGAGGGAGGACTAACATTTTATTCTAGGTGCACTGGTTTGGGTACTGCTTTAGCTTGAATGGCTATAAAGTGGTTTACTTCACAAGAACTCAGAATCACAAGATAGCTCTGTACCCTGTTATTGGGTTATCTGGGCCCAGTTCTTCTTTCTGTTTTTTTTTTTTTTTTAAATCTTTGTATACAACAAGGTATTGTCTGCGTCACGGCTGCTGCATCGGAGCAGTCTAAACAGAGAGTATCATGAATGAGCAAATAGGCAGTTGCCAGCGTGTGACACATCATCTTGGTGACTCAACGACTGACTAGGATTGTGGCATTTTCTTCAGTGGAAAAGCTACAAAAACATACTGCCATTTTTGGAATGGACTTGTCACAGTTTACTGGTCCCATTTAGAGAGTAATCCTTGGAATTTGCCCATGCTTCTGTTGTAGTCTGTCTACTAGAAATACTGTGTGAAGCAAAAAGTATTCAGCATCATTGGAGCAATATTATCATTAGAGCCTCAGTTTGCTACGGCTTCCAGTAGTTAAAGTGTTGCTGAATGACATAGAAAGGTTAAACTAAGCTAACTATAATTATTGTATGATAGAAATGTAAAATGTCTTCATAACTAGCTAGGTTTTTAAAGAGAATTTTTTTCCAAAGAACAAGTAAGAGGAGACAAAAAACTGCTAAGAAAAGCATTGATCAGTCTTGTGGGTTCTTTGGTTTTCTGTTTTGGGGGGTGGTGTTTGTTTCTTTTTTTCTTTTAGCAGGCACACCAATTACAAATTTAGACTAAAACAATTCAAGAGTTTGGTATTCAAATCAAACTTCATTTTTTTAGAGCAGCAAGTTAAATCTTCTAAACCGCCTTCTTTTTATAGGGGTAAGTTTTGTTATTTTCAGCAGAAGGTGGCATGCTTGACAGCACCATTTGGAGTCAGGAAATGATATGCTAAGATCAGTGAGAAACAAATCTGCAGTATATTTTGAAAGCACTCGTAGTGTGCAGGTTTACACTTTGGACGTGCTCTGACCATACGGGGAAAAAAACCTCAAATCATCATGAAGGGTTTTTTCATAAAGATTAACAAACATTACCAGTTAATAAAGAAAAGCATAGATACTTTAAATTTTCCTTTCTTGGATATATCCGGTTGGTTCAGATTTTTCTTGTAACTGGCATTCACTACCTGTGTGTGAATATTGATGTGTCTCTTGACCTACCAAAGACCAAGCAAGGGAAATGCTATTTAATCTTGGATAAATTCTCAAGACAAGAGAGCAGAACAGTATACATTTTAAAGTTTCAATTTGAAAGCACTGAATTAGTTTTTTCAAGTTTTTTTTGTTTACTGCCTCAGCACTCCTGACAGTGTTATCCTGTGAAACTCCGTAACATTGCTGTGGACTACACAGAACTTAATCCTGAGAGATTGTTCAGTATCCAAAAAGGGTATGTGGGAAGTGTTGAACAGCAGGGTCACCAGGAACTGCATTGTGATGATGTGCTGCATTTTAGAGTAATTTTCCAGAAACAGAACAGCTGGGCCCTATAATGGGAGGCAAACTTTTTGTATGAAAAGAAAACAAACACAAACTAGTATGAAAATCCTCACTGTTACCATAGCTCAGCGTTTGCTTCAGTCAGCACAAATGGAGTTTGCAATAGTTTTAATACTCGGGAAAAGCTGGGGGAGGAGGTTTGGAAATGAGTCTGAGCAGGCGCAACAATTCATTTTGTATTTATATATAATATTTCCTGCATACCTGTGCATATTCATGCAACTGGAAAATCCTGCATATTAAAATATATACACTTACACCTGGTGCTGAAAGTAAAGGCAACAGCAGAATTTGCCTTTACCCATTCAGCCTGAGGTTCTTCAGGCAGGAATTTAGTTCGGAATGAGATATTGCAGAATTACATCAGAAACAAAGATTTGTATGGGTGCACTTAAAGAATGCAAAACACGTAGTTTTTGCTGTAGTGCAATTCTTTGCTGTAAATACATATTTGCTTGTTTCCCGCCCCCAGTGTATGGGCCACATGGCATACTGCATTTTATTTTGCCTCTAAACCTTTAAAGATGGGAGGGGTTTGGTATTTGTTGTTATAAGATTTTCTGGTCTAGTGTTTTGCTCAATGCTAAGTTTGCCTTTACCACAGCAGGGAGAGTCTATATAAGCTCTGGGTTTTTTTCATGCTGTAGCACTGTTGCTTTCTAGTCTACTGAATTGAATTACTGCATCCTGGCAAAAATGAAACAGCAGATACCAATGCTGCTTGCATTTTAGCCAGGGACAGAACATCTAAATTGGCTTCAGAATCAGTTGGGTCTGATCTTATTTCCATTGAAATCTATAAAGAAGGCTCATCAATCTTAAAGAAAAAAGAACCAAGACCTATAATTCGATAGGCCTCTATTATTAATTTTAAACTCTCTTTTCAGAAGAAATATTACTTTTATGAACTGCAGCTTCAGTCTAAATTTCTGTAAAAGGAAACTATCATATGAGAACTGTAAGTGCATAAACTTTGTAAACATTACTCACTAAACCCGATACAGCACTCCCCCATCACTCAGCAGTGTTTGTTCGTGCGTTGATAAATAAGTGAATCCTTCTGCAGATAAGCACTCAGGCAAATCCATGTGGGACTATTTAAAATTTTGAATGATTTACTAAAATGTATAATATATTTCCACATGTCAGGATAGAGGGCAGCCTTCTGTCCAAGTTCCATGACTATTTTCCTTCCTAATTAAAGAATAAAGGTGTAGTCCAATTATTGCACTTAAACAAGGTTATTAGAGATGGGACTGTGCTACTGTTTTGCAGTCTGACAGTAAAGCTTGCAGCTTCCTTTACTCAGAAATCAGGTTTTTGCATGACTTGCATTTGAATATATTGATCAGCAATTGATGGGAAAAAATGTCAAAAAAGTTGAATATAAAAACACTTTACAAGCTTTTAAACATATCTCTCATATCAAGACATTCTTTGTTTTAAAATTTTGTATTTTTGTATGTGACCTAGTTTTTTTCAAAAATCTTGTTCCTGCGAGATTAGAAAACTTGAGAAGCATTTACATATTTATTAAAATTAACATAAAGGCTTGCCTTTGAAAGGTAAAGTTGGTAAATACACACTGTTTAAAAATGCCAATAAAAACCTCATTTATTTCATATATGCAAGTTGATTTGCACATGTATAAATAGAGTTGCTTTTTGCATTTTTTGCTTAGTTTCTATGTTTCTTTTTGTAATTTATAGTTGCAGCTGCGTGTTTGCTTGTTTATATCAGATTATGTTTCTCCTACAAATATTTAATGTTTATGTGCCTTTTTTTACTTTCTTTGGGGTTTGGATGAGCGTTTGGAATATGGACACTGTCTGAACAAGTATAATGGAACACTAATTACAGGTAAAAATAGTGCTTGATGACTATACAGCTTAGCACCATGAATTTTGAAAGTTTTTAAGTAGTGGAGAAATCGGTTCTAAAACTATAAGGTAAAGGTTAATAAGATAAAACTATAACTTTCATAATTCTTGCAAAAAGTTGCTCCTGCAAGCAGAATACCCTTCACTGAATATCTGTAATTTGACATGAGAGCTCCTGCTGGGATGGGACATCTTTGTTTAAAGACCAGAGGGCAAACTAAAGCCGTTAGGAGACAATGCTAACAGAAAACCTCTAGGAACAGCCATATCTGATTTGATCAGCAGGAGAATTGAAGATCCACATTAAAGTTTGTGAGGTGGTGGTTTTTTTGGCTAAAGACGTCTGTACATGGAAGTGCACGGGGTGATTCCTGGTGCTACCCGGAGAGTACAGTCATTTTATGGTACCTGAATTTACGACTCTCAGTGGGGAGGGAACTCTGGATATTCAGCTTATTGCAGATGTTTTTCTTTTTAATGCTACTACTTTTCTGCAAGAAGAATATTTTGCAGAATAGCTGCTGATCAGGTGTCAGTTGGAGACCGCAGAACGGGGTTGCAGACAGAGCCAGGACTCTGCATCTTCCCCGCTCGGCTCTGCTCCCAACTACTTGTACTGGCTTTTGCAACTTGCTTATTGACAAGCATTCAGACTTGCTGAAAGTTTCTGTTGATACCAGCTGCAAATCAGGTTCTTAGCTGATGTCTTCTCTCTCCTCCCTTAATCGTGTTGTACAAGTATCCTTTAAAATCCTAGTCAACGTCCTTGGTTTATCCTTGATATGAAAGACATGCCCTCCCCTCTCAAAAATGAGTGGCCCATCTAAATTACAAAGATGATTTATGAGCTTGCAGCACTTTTCACATAAACAAAATCCAAATTGCTTTCTCAGGTATGTATTTTGCTTGTAGTGCATTTCAGGACCAGATTTTGCTAGTAAAATAAATTAAATGGGATGAATCAGGCTGAATACTATCTCATTCAAGTCTAATTAACTTCATGACTCCCACTGGCTTCAGTGATAGCTGAACTCCTCCATTAATTTTTCTTCAAATTAAAAAAGCAGCTCTCCCTTTTTAATACATACAAAGCACTGTATCTTACAAGATAAAGACCAAACACTTGCAGGTTATATTGTACACATATCAGCAGCCAATTTTCCTTGCTGTTTACAGCAGATATCATCTCTGACTAAGTTGATGTTACCTATTATTAAAGTATCAGGTGAAAACTTGGATAAATAGCTGTTCAGTCTACAGTTTGGAGTTGGAGGGGTGGGGTGTTTGGGTTTTTTGTTGTTTGGTTTTTTTAAAGAGACTAGTAGTTATCGGTTTCCAGTTTCACAGTCTTTTTTTCCAGGGGTGCTAACATTTTGGCATGGCTCGCTCTTCATGATGTTTGCCCTACAGCTGCTATGCCTTCAAGTTTGGACTTGGGACCTCTTTCCATTTGTAGTTCTCCTTTGGTCCCATTGTTTTAGGGACCGCTGTAAAGTCGAGGCGAATAATGCACTGACGGATGTACGCTTTCATTCAGGCTGAAA